AGAAGTTCTAGAAAACCAGCGACCCCTGGAGAGCTACTTGATGTTTTGTGTGCAGCCTGGGTCAAGATCCCACAGGAGAAAATTGTAGAATTCATCTATTCCATGCCAGAACGAGTCAAAGCACTGAAAAATGACTCATCTATTCCATGCCAGAACGAGTCAAAGCACTGAAAAATGACTCATCTATTCCATACAAGAACGAGTCAAAGTACTGAAAAATGCTAAACATTTGTAAACATTTTTGTCAAGTTGATAATGTGAGATAAATGACTATTGAAAAACATCATGGTGTTTATTTACTTTTGAGATGTCTCTGTATGTTACTTTCCACAGAACTTCACACATATCACGATTCATAGATTGTTCAATTAACAATATGTTACTTCCCACGTATCACGATTCATATATTGTTAAATTAACAATATGTTACTTCCCACAGAACTTCCCACATATCACGATTCATAGATTGTTCAATTAACAATATGTTACTTTCCACAGAACTTCCCACATATCACGATTCATATATTGTTAAATTAACAGTATGTTACTTTCCACAGAACTTTACACATATCACGATTCATATATTGTTAAATTAACAATATGTTACTTTCCACAGAACTTCCCACATATCACGATTCATATATTGTTAAATTAACAGTATGTTACTTTCCACAGAACTTTACACATATCACGATTCATATATTGTTAAATTAACAATATGTTACTTTCCACAGAACTTCCCACATATCACGATTCATATATTGTTAAATTAACAATATGTTACTTTCCACAGAACTTCCCACATATCACGATTCATAGATTGTTAAATTAACAATATGTTACTTTCCACAGAACTTTACACATATCACGATTAACAGATTGTTCAATAAAGTCGATATAATGATACAAGTTTGATAGAGGTAAAACCACTTAAATTTTACTGCCGTTTGGTGGTTTATTTTCAACTCGATATAATCACTGATTGTGCTTGACGTCAGTATTATCTGTTATTTAATAAAAAACTCGATATAATGATAATAAGTTTAAAACAGCTTCAGGTCATCTAATGGCTCATCTAAACTTGATACAATGACATATCTTTGTTGGAAGTAAGATCATCACAACGTCAGTGCCCTCTGGTGGTTAGTATAAACTTGATATAATGATAATAAGACTAGTAGATGTAAGACCACAACAGGTCATCTAGTGGCTAATCTAAACGTGATACAATGACATATCTTTGTTGGAAGTAAGATCATCACAACGTCAGTGCCCTCTGGTGGTTAGTTTAAACTTGATATGATGATAATAAGATTAGTAGATGTAAGACCACAACAGCTTCAGGTCATCTAATGGCTAATCTAAACTTGATACAATGACATATCTTTGTTGGAAGTAAGATCATCACAACGTCAGTGCCCTATGGTGGATATTTTAAACCTTATATAATGATTTAACGCTGTTGAAGGTAAGGCCACCACAATTTTACTGCCATCTGGTGGCGTATGTTAGTCTTATTTTACTACCAGGAGCTTATAAGTAAACATAATTAGAATATATATAGAAAATTTTTTCGCCTTCGTTTAAAATATTCTATAATTTAGAATGTAGGTTTATTGAAGCGATTAAGTAGTAGACAAAATAAAGAAATAGGATTAGTTTCTGCAGATTAACCAATTGTTTTTAAACTATTATTTTCAATATTTTTGAAACATTTTATAAAGTTTTGCTAATATTTCGTTTTGTCTTCAAAAGTTTTGATGTATACATTATCGATTAAAAATGTTATTTAATCTTCTGTTTAATACTTCACCATGATGTTGAAGCAATAATCTACACGAATCTCTCCTGTTGGAATATCTAACTTCTTGGAAGAAGATTAAATGTAAGACAGAGAACTTTTTTTTGCAGACTTTGAAGAACTTATATATTTCAGGATCGACTTCCCTGAATTTACTAGAGAAAATATTATGAATATCTCATTTTTTCTTTATTTTTGCATCAAAATTTGTAAATGACTTGTACTTCTTATATTATTTTGAAATCAGTCCTTGTTTTGTGATGTATGCCTGTTATTCTCTACATGATTGACATTCCGAAAGCTACACAACACAACAATAAATATTTAGTGTTTCAGAACACAGCCCAAATCAATCCATTTAGAGATTTGTAAAATCTGACCTTGTCCTTGGTAGCCTGACTGAGGAGGACAGTGGTAAACTTACCCTCCTTCGATACTTCAATTTAATGGGATTTTCACGCAGAAATAGTTGCTGCTCGTAGCGATCCAGAGAACAAATGATGACACCATAAGCCACGGTCATCACAGTCAGGGGAAGATAAAAAAGTAGAGTCAAGATGATCAACCAGTAGTATTTAAGTTGTTTCATGTGCGTGTTTTCTGAGCACCAGATCTAAAACAAGTATTAAAAACAAAAATAATGTCTTTTAATAAAACTAGGGTAAAAATGACATAAACTTACAGTTTGAAAAGTAAATTATTTGGTTTCAATAGATTAAAAATAAATTTAGTGGTTTGAATAACTGGTTTCAATAGTTAAAAAAATTAGCTTACGGGTTTCACTAGTTAAAAACTTACTGGTTAAATCAGTTTAAAAAAATTATTGGTTTCAATAGCTTGAGAGAAACGAACTAATAAAATAGTTAAAATAAACTTACTGGTAAAAATAGTTAAAAATAAACTTACTGATAAAAATAATTAATAATAAACTTACTGGTAATAATAGTTAAAAATAAACTTACTAGCAACAATAGTTGCAAATAAACTTACTGGTAAAAATACTTAAAAATAAAATTATTGATAACAATAGTTAAAATAAACTTTTTGGTAACAATACTTAAAATAAACTTTCTAGTAACAATAGTTAAAAATATACTTACTGGTGACAATAGTTAAAAATAAACTTACCGGTAAAACTGGTTAAAAATATATTTACTGGTAACAATAGTTAAAAATAAACTTACTGGTAAAATAATTAATAATAAACTTACTGGTAAAAGTGGTTAGAAATGCATTTACTGGTAAAAACAGTTAAAAATAAACTTAGTGATAACAGTAGTTAGAAATACACTTACTGATAGAAATAGTTTTTATCTTTAAATTTATTTTATACATTTATTTGTTTAAAATTAGATTCAAATTGCTATTTTCTAAATCTTGTTTGGGTTCTTTTACACAGTTAAACATCTGACTGTTATACGTATTCTAGTTTATACTGAATTTAAACATTTGACTGCTACAAGTATTCTATTTCAGACTGAGAGTTAAACAACTAACTCTTACAGGTATTCTAGTTTATACTGAATTTAAACATTTGACTGCTACAAGTATTCTATTTCAGACTGAGAGTTAAACAACTAACTCTTACACGTATTCTAGTTTATACTGAATTTAAACACTTGACTGCTACAAGTATTCTATTTCAGACTGAGAGTTAAACAACTAACTCTTACACGTATTCTTGTTTATACTGAGAGTTGAACCACGGATTGTTATACGTATTATAGTTTATACTAAAAACTAAATAACTGTGAATTTTCTTATTACTAAGACTTTATTTCTTCCTTTTTTTTATCGACATAAGTCTATTATTTCAATAATTCATGCTATACTTAGTCACATTAAAATTGACACCATAATTTCAATGCATCAATTTTTCTAAGAAAAAATATAATTTCTAGGCACTTATTATGAGCTTCTAATGAAAAGTAAGCGTATTGTGTTGAGCTGAATTCAAATATGCATCACTGAAGACCAAACTGACAAGAAAACTGAATGCTAAAAATCGATACATCATAAAGCTAAAACATATAATTATAAGAATAATATGAATTATCTATGCTTGGCCTCTATATATTGGTTACTAATATATTGTGTTCTTTAGACCGCTAGTTAGAATTAAAACGTTAATAAGGTTCTTCCCCACTACTGTTGTATTTACTCTGAAATAGTCAACTGTATATCGACAAATAATATGTTGTCATTTCGAACATCGAGACGCTTGTCTATGTTGTAATATATATATGTCGAGTTATCTGTCTCTGTACTTATATATTTATATATATATATATGTGTGTGTGTGTCCATGTGTCTGTCTTGGAAAATATATATGTATGTCGAGATGTTTGTCTTTTTGTAATATATATATATGTCCAGACATCTGTCTTAGTTGCTATATATATATCTAGATTTTATTCCGCCAAACATGCTCACTTTTACAGCTGTGGGAGTGCTACAACGTGACGGTCAATCCCACTATTAGTTGATAAAAGAGTAGTCCAAGAGTTGGCGGTGGGTGGTGACTACTAGCTGCCTTCCCTCTAGTCTTTCACTGCTAAATTAAGGACGGCTAGCGCAATTAGACCTTGTGTAGCTTTGCGCAAGATTCAAAACAAACCAGTTATTGTTATATGTATGTCGAAATATCTGTCGTTGTCTGTTATATATAGATATAAAGACATCTGTCTTAGTCATTATATATATATATATATATATATATGTCGAGATGCCTATCTTTGCTGCTATAAATATGTAGAGACGCTTGTCTTTGTTGTAATGTATGTATGCATATATATATATAAATATAAATAGGAACAACTTATAATTTAGCGCAAAGTAGGGATCTTAGTTATTCGTCGAATTGCTATAAGAAGTATCCAAAACAAAATAAGTGCTGCAATAAAAAGTAGACAAACAAATAAAGTGATACTCGTTGGATAGATTTTAAAACGATTTTCAGCGTCTTGCAAAAGTATTCACCCTCTACCAATAATGTGACATTTTGATGAAATACAAATAATGTAAACAATGCTTTTTAATGAACTTATTTTTATTCAAAACTCTAATGATAAAACTTAACACTGTTATGTGTGAAGGAGATTGAATGTCAGCAAAACCTGCAATATATATATATATATAAATTGAAATTTGCTGATTGCATAAGTATTCAGCCCCTAAGTCAGTATTTGGTGGAAGTATCTTTGCCAGCAATTACTGCTGTGAGTCTTTTTTGGGATAGGTCTCTACCAGCTTTGTACAATGGGTTGATGTAATTTTTACCCATTCTTCCTGGCAAAATTGGTCCAATTCTGACAAGTTTGTTGATGGACTGCAATCTTCAGGTCTCGCCATAAATGTTCTATTGGATTAAACTCATGACTTTGACTGGGCCACTACGGGACATTCATTTTCTTCTTCTGAAACCACTCCAGTGTGCTTTGGGTCATTGTCTTGCTGAAATGTGAATTTTCGACCCAGTTTTAGATTCTTGGGTGACTCAAGCAGGTTTTCCTCAAGGATTCGCCAGCACTTTGCACCATTCACCTTCCCTTCAATCCTCACAAACTTCTCTGCTGATGAGAAGCATCCCCATAACAAGATGCTGCCACCACCATGCTTGACAGTTGGGATGGTGTTGGTTGGGTGATGTACTATATTGGGCTTGCGACAAACGTAACGCTTTGAATTTAGCTCAATTTTTTGTCTTGTCTGACCACAAAACCTTCTGCCACATGTCTGTAGTATCATTTACATGCTTTGTCGTAAACCCCACACAAAATTTAATATGATTATTTTTCAATAATGGCTTCTTTCTTGCCACTCGTCCATACAGGCCAGTTTTGTGTAGGGACCGAGATATTGTCGATATATGAACACTGACTCCCATCCCAGACATGGAACTTTGCAGATCTTTTAAAGTCTCTGTTGGCTTCACAATGGCATCCCCAACCAGTTTCTTGCTTGCCCGGCTGCTTAGTTTGGAAGGGCGGCCTGATCTGGGTGGTATGAAGCACATTCCACTTCTTAATGGAAAATCAGCGACTTTCAAATTTTGTTGTTACCTTCTGATCTGTGCTTCTCTTTCGCTTTATCCCTGACTTGTTTGGAAATCTCCTTGGTCTTCATGGTTGGTTTGTCGTATCAATATGTCAGTTGTGACTTGAACAGATGCATTTACTCTGAAGTCAAGTTAAACAACTTTGATTACACACAGAGAGACCATTACACAAATATTGTGACCTTTCAATTTAATCTTTTGCATCTAAACAGATTTAGGGTTGCCATAGCAAGGAGTTGAATACTTATATAATTGAGAATATTCTAAAATTTTTTTGATAACCTACATAATATCAGCGTTTTTGAGCTTTCTCAGTTTGGAGTAGATTGTGTACATTTTAAATATATAGTCCCATTTGAAGGTTTCATTATTGCAAGCTCAGACAGCAACAAAATGTGGATCCTTAGGAGGGGTGGTGGTGAATACTTTTGCAAGCATTTTAAATAGGGATAGAAAATCGTTTTAAAATATATCCAACTAGTATCACTTTACTTGTTTGTGTACTTTTTGTTGCAGCATTTAGTTTGTTTTAAATACTCCTTATACCAATTTTAGGAATAACCAACGATCCCTACTTTCTGTTAACATTTTAATACATTTTTCTATTTATTCGTTCAGTTTTTATACGTCCTTTATGGCTATAACTATTACAAGAATTAAAGCCACAATCACAAATTTATAAATTGCAATCCTTGCCTTGGCCTACAGTTAAGTGTATAAAGCTGCCAAAGTAGGGATTAAATGTTATAAATTTGTGACTGTTGTTTTAATTCTTGTTTCATTACTTTTTGTGGCAGGATCCCTACTTCATTTTACAATTCACAATTTTTAATACTCTTATCCGTATACTTTTTATGTTATACCAGTATAAAGTATAATAAAGTATACACTTTACCTTTAGAAACTGTCGCGTGTTAATCCATCGATATGTAGTGACATCTGTTGGGTTGAATTGGGTTGAAAAGATATTTAAGTAAGTGCATGATATGTTTACCATTTATTAAAAAATCTGTATATATTTATCGGAATATCAAAAGCGGATACCCACACACCTGTCAAGTAAGCTGGAGTAATCTTGTAGTGATAGTCCAAGCCATCTAGGGGCTAGCTAGCTGATTTGATCAGGTAGGTATGTAGTAGATGAAAAAGTGGCTTTTTTAGAAAATTTTGAGTTGTTATACCGGAAATATTAGTGACATTTTAATCTTATCATTAGTATATATGAACATAATTTAACGTAACCAATATTTTGAATGTTTGGTTTTTCGTTTAGGAATTCGACAGGATGGTTTTTCGGCGCGTGAAATACTTGGAAACCTTGTAGCTTCCTACTATTAAGTACTACAGTACTTAATAATATGTCGAGATGTCCTTTTTGTTGTTATATATATATATATATATGTCTAGGTATTTGTCTCTGTTGTTAAATATCTGTCGAGATGTCTGTCTATTATTATGGATATATATATCGAAATGTCATTCTTTGTTGTTATATATATATATTCATATGATGACACATTTGTCTTTGTTTATTCATATATGTATATGTCGAGACGCCAATCTTTGTTGTTATCACTAAGCATGATAGTGCTTAGTATGTATGAATGGGCCGAGAAAAAAATAGCTAGCTCATTCAATCTACCACCCTATTATGCTTACAAAAAGTGTTAAAGTTGAGTTATAGCCTTACTTGAACACCTACTCGCCATTATCGAGTGTTTTACAGCTTGTATAACAGTAATATTATTATGTTCTGCCACCACACGTATTTTTGTGGGGACATAATAAAAAGGAAACTACTACTTAGCAATCATTTCAGTTTATAAGAATATATTATTTCCATGTTTCATTAATAACAGTTTAATTTGTGGTCGCTAGATGACAGCACAAATTATTCTTGTATAACGACTGTTTTGTTACTTTTCATTGCATAAACATGATATCTATCAAAACATTTTTCAGTAAAAATAAATAAACAACAATCTAAATTAATATTAAAGGTGTCAAGGAAATCAAGCATTTATGCAACTGACAGATCTGTGTACATGTTATTGATGTCTGAGTTTAAAAACACCAGTTTCTTAATTATTAACCTAATACCCTATATAACAGTATACGTTTCTTCAAAATTTCAGTGAGAACGAGACTGACAGCTGTGTGTATATGCATAGTATCATACTCTATGGTCTGAAATCTGTATAATGCCATCATTATTAATCGACATGACCCAAGCATGTGGTAGAGTCGATTGTATGCATATGCAGGGAGTTGTGGGTGAAGTTAAAAAGCGTGGTTTCTATAAGTTATACCCTTATCACCAGTTCAGCACTCCAGAGGAATAATTCCAGCTTCAGTAGCCCTCAATGTAATCCAAAATTATAGAAACTGCCAAAACTGATATTATATTAACAATATATATTTACCATTGAATTTTAAAAAATAAAATATATGTTCACTTATCAACCTACTTCAATGAAATTGCTTAAGAAAAAGAAGGGAACAAATAATAATACAGTCTTACAGTGGTCAATAATCTGTCTTCATTGTTACACACATGCATATATAATTGTATTTCGAGACATCTGTCTTTGTTGTTATATATATTTCGAGGTCTTTATCTTCATTGTCATATATATTTCGAGATCTTTATCTTCATTGTTATAGATATATGTCGAAAAACCTACCTTTGTTATTATAAATATGTCAAGATGCCTGCCTTTGTTATTATGATATATGTCGAAAAACCTACCTTTGTTATTATAAATATGTCAAGATGCCTGCCTTTGTTATTATGATATATGTCGAAACATCTGTCTTTCTTATTTTAAAACTGTCAAGACGTCTGTTTTCCTTGTTATACCTGTAGTGACGTATGTCTTTGGTATGTGGTGACATCCAACTTTGTTGCTGTATGCCCGTTGTAACGTCTGCATTATTTGTTACTTGTACCAACTGAGACGTCCATTTTCATTTTTATATCTGTTCTGGGTTTGCTTTGATTATTATTATTATATATATATATATATATATATATAGTGATTTCTGCTTTTAACCTTGTTTTGTTCTTTCTCTTCTAATTACGTCAGATATTATGTCTTATTAAAACCAGCTTCTCTCTCCAACTCACCTCCAAGTAGTCAGCCCATTGTCGTTCTGATAATGATCGCCAGATGGCGAGAGGAGAAGCACAGGCTATAGCTGATACCCAAATGCAGATGATGATTATTAGAGCTTGGCGTTTTGTGAGTCGACGAGAGAATGGAAATACAATCCCCAGAAGTCGGTCACATGATATAACGATGAGGGAAAAGGCACTGGAAAGTAGGCATATCACTGAAACACAAACCAAATATAGACGCCATCTTGAAATGTATACCACTTAAAATAAAACGAAAACTGAAACACAAACCAAATGTAGACGCCATCTTGAATTGTATACCACTTAAAATAAAATTTAAAAATTAGGTAATTTCTGTGTTCTTATTAGTTCTCTATTAAATTATTTATAACTTTCTCTTGATACAAAAGTATAACAGTCTGAGGCAATGAACGTTAGTCTCATGTGGTAACTGAATGAATATTGCTGAACAAACCTAGCATTTCCCAAATGCATTAATATAAACGTCACTGTTCTGCCTGTGTGTAGCAAGTGTAACGGAATCATATTTAAACAAGATGGAAGTAGGGTTAAGCTATAAACCATTCACAATACAATTGAGTGCTTACCTTAAACTAGACCTCGCTGTGTGAAACTGATACAACATGTGGTTGTGGTTTACCAATGGAACGGAGTGCTTACCTTGAATTAAACCTCGCTGTGTGAAACTGATACAACATGTGGTTGTGGTTTACCACCGGAACGGAGTGCTTACCTTGAATAAAACCTTCCACTTTACAAAACCGACCAAGGACGTAGTTCTGGTAGAAATCGTATACTAAGTAGCTCCAGGAACTAAAAAGAACCGTCAGAAGATCGGCCACAGCCATATTAGTTATAAATAAGTTGGTGCACGTTCTCATGCTACGAAGCTGTACCACTACCACGATGATGGCACTGTTTCCAAAGAATCCTAAAAATATCATCGGTATAAAGGCCAAAATCTTAACTCCCATTTCCCAGTCTGGGACTCGAACCCAGATAAGCTGGCCATCGCTGTAGTTATGTTTGGTGAAGTCAATGTCAGTAATGTTGAGAGAATATGAATTCCAGAAGTGCATGTTGTTAGTTGAATTGCAGAAGTTGATATATGGTACTGAAAGAATAGAGCAGAATTTTTACAGCTGTTTTGAACAGAAACCGACGTGTCTAATCATCTTCGAGAAGCTCTGATTACAATTACAAAAAACCTCAAAGCTGTCAGTTATGAATCTAACAAGAATATCAAACCAAGCGAAAAGCTTTTCTCTCGAATGAGAAGAGCGACGACCGACCAGAAACACTAAACCTTCTCCCTAAGTTATATCTAACATTACTTACACTTTATCATTGCGTATCTAAAACCACTAATTAGAACTTTAGATGACAGTGGTTTGCCCACGTTCATGAGAACTGACGAACTTTGATCGCCTTATCAGGTCTGATACTACAGACAATGAACAAATGAGTATTAGGGATAGAGAGGTCAGTAGAACATACATTGTAACATTTAAAGGTCATTTTGTTAGAAATTCTTGAAAATAGAGATATACTATTTTTGAACTGATGATTAGATATATATTTTAAGTGTTTGGAAACAAGTCATAAACAAACACTATATCTTAGTTCTTCTGACACGTGTAATAACGAATATCATAACGGTTCGAATCCCTGTTCCACCAAACATGCTCGCCTTTTTAGCCGTGGGGGCGTTATAAAATGACGGTCAATCCCACTATTCGTTGGTAAAAGAGTAGCACAAGAGTGGGTGGTATTGACTAGCTGCCTTCCCTCTAAATTAGGGACGGCTAGTGCAGCTAGCCTTCGTGCAGCTTTGCGCGAAATAAAAAAAACAAACAACAATAATGTTTTTTCTCGAAACAGTGAAAAAGGTACAAGATCGCTATGTTGAAATTCAAATGCTGAAAACAAGTAGGAAGAACAGATGGGCTTACTTTCCTAAGAGTGGCGTGATTAGAGAATGCTTAAGTGACTAAATGATAAGAACCTTATTAGCCTAATGCGTTTCCGGTTTCCCAACTACTCGACAGTTCTGCCTTGACCACGTGGGTAATGTTGACATTATGAAACTAATTAAGGTATATTTACTTCAGCTGAAGCCTGAAAGTAAATAATTTAGTATTAATTAGACGTTTCATGTTGGCCTAGCTCGTTAACTAAATATTATCTAGCTGTAATTGGATTTTCAATTGGTCTGTTTACTTTGTTGTTAATTTACTCTGTAAAGCAATGATCGTTTTCATATTATTGTAATTATAGTTTAATTTTGAAATGGGTAGAGCGATTAAAATAATAGAATTTCACTGTCAAAAACTGATATTAAGGCAGCCTAAAGCGAGTGAGTATTGATTGAGTTACAAGATCGAAGAGTTCGGTTTAGTCGAATAAAATTGTTGAAGTTTCCGGAAAAGAAACATATTTTTTATGTTATAAAGACCTGATTTTTGAAGTAAAGCCTTATTTTGGTTCCTCGTTTCGAAAAATCAACAAAGTGTCCAGAAAGAAACACGTTTTCGTTTCATCTTTATCCCTAAAATTATTATCTACAGCTTCATAACAAAAAACTGGTTTTCCAATGTTTTGATAAAAAAGAAAATTACTTCAATATTTGCATATTTAAACTTTTTTTTCTGTAATCAACATGATATTTACTAATGATTTCTCCAGAACCAGTTTTTCTCTGCTCTAATTGTTTGTTTCAGACAGTTAAAGTTTCATACTCCGAGGGTACTATTTTTTTACGAACACAGTGGTAGGGGTTTCTATGAATTGTTAAAGTTACACACCTATTAGCGTTTGACGTGTGTAACAATACGTTCTATTAATTTACTTTGAAGGTTTCTACATCTATTCAAGTGGTCTAAGGGTTAGCGTGCTTGGAGTGTGAAACCGAGGGTTCGTAGCCCCATGCTGCTAGGTTTTATCATCGCATTTTCGGGCCGTTGGTGTGATATACGAGACAAGAGTAACACAAGAGTTGGCGGTGGGTACTGTTGAGTAACTGTTTTCCCTCTAATTAAAAAATATAAATATAAAATGGGGGATATTTTGAATAAAATGCTCTTTGTTTAGCGTTGGCCAAATATACTGAAAGAAACAAAAACCTTTATTCAAAGCATCTCAATAAACATGCTCTGAAAAGGAAAATGTATTTCAATGTCATTTTTCATTCGCTGTGTTCATTTTATTTTATTTCATTTGTCAGACTCTAGACTGGTTATTTAAATTAGTTGATACTGCTAAGAAATTAAATATATTATATTGTAACGTTTGCGTGTATTAACACATACCATTGCTTTGCAAAATGAATAAGTGAATACATACAGTTGAAGATAAGACCTAAGAAAACTGGAATTATGCAATTCATAAGAGAAGAAATAGAACGAAGGAGAAAAATCTATGTGAAAGTTACCCCTTTACATCAACAGAAAGTTTAAGTAAAAGTAAGTCTCCGTAAATTAAATAAAATCGTATTTGTTTAAGCTAGGCAGGAAAGAAAATATTTTGGAGATTTGCAAAGCTTAAACAAAATTGCTCAAGAATACTTAATGTGATCTTAATTATTATTAAATCCACAACCTAAAGACAGTTACGTAACTTACTGACGTTAAAAAGGAGCAAAGTGGATGCACTTGTCACAAATAAAAAGGAGACAAAAGATGCTTGTTCATTAGAACTTGAGGAATTCGAAACTGGGAACTATCAAGGAAGCTTTCTCGTTCAAGACAAAACAGGATCCTATCCTTCACGATTAAGAAATGGTCAAATAAAACCTTAATGATCGGAAGCAAGACAATCTTATTAGATAGTGAAATAGATACTTAGTTTCTTAAGTAGGGAAGAGTAAGGGTAGAGATTGTTCGTCGTCATGGTCAGAACTAAGATGTAAAAATATATCAATCGGAGAAAATGGAAGAGTGGTTCAGGTCAACATGGTCAGAGCTAAGGTATGAAAAATATATCAATCGGAATGATGGAAGAGTGTCTTAGCTTTATGGTCAGACCTAAGATATAAAAATATATCAATTAAAACAATGGAAGGGTGTCTTAGCTTTATGGCCAGAGCCAAGATGTAAAAAATATATCAATCAAAGCAATGGAAGAGTGGCTCAGGTCAACATGGTCAGAGCTAAGATGTAAAAAATATATCAATTAAAACAATGGAAGGGTGTCTTAGCTTTATGGCCAGAGCCAAGATGTAAAAAATATATCAATCAAAGCAATGGAAGAGTGGCTCAGGTCAACATGGTCAGAGCTAAGATGTAAAAAATATATCAATTAAAACAATGGAAGAGTGTCTTAGCTTTATGGTCAGACCTAAGATATAAAAAATATATCAATTAAAACAATGGAAGGGTGTCTTAGCTTTATGGCCAGAGCTAAGATGTAAAAAATATATCAATCGGAGCAATGAAGAGTGTCTTAGCTTTATGGCCAGAGCTAAGATGTAAAAAATATATCAA